CCAGTGCAAGGCTGCATGACCTTACTGCAATTCTCAAATCCAAAAAATTCTGAAACCAAGTTTTCTTGAAATTCGTTAGTCTTTGTGTAGGGGCTTATTTATCTCACTTGGTATGGAGTATCTGTGCACGTCTCAGCAGAATTAGCAATGTGTTGCTTACCAGGGCTTCCTGTACCCATCGGAGTCTAGATGGGAGCCCAACACTAGGGCCATGTGAAGAGCGACCCTCTCGCTGCTGTTCGTGTCTCTTTCATGTGGTGTCCTGGGTTGGAGTGCTGATGTGTGGTTGAGTCTGTGAGGTGGAGCCACACCCATCCAACACATCAGTCACCTGCAGAGGACAGTACTCCCAAAAGGGAAAGAAAGCACATCGAGGGCTAACTCCTCCTTGGTCTAGATGCCCAGGAATCTAGTGTCTGGTGTGGGGCCTGGAGCACGGGGCTGGATATGATGTCAAGCGAGCAGAGGAAACAGGAGCTACAAGAGAGGCTCCAGGATAAGGTCATTTTCCCCCTAGAGCCATGAGATTGACAGGTCTGCATGTCCACGAGCAGGCTGTGAGCCAAACATCTAGACTCACGATCACAGACCCCTTGTGAGCTCTCAGCCTGGAGCTGAGTGTCCTCTAGAGCATCCCTCCACCCAGCAACAGGGAGCCGAGATTAGTGAGAGGAGACTCCCCAGTCCTGGCCATGGAACTTGGTGACAGACAGCAAGGGCAGGCGACCCAGGCAGGCGGACTGAATTAGTTGACCCATCCTCCCCACCCCCACCCCACCCCCAGTGTCCTTCTAGCTAACAAAATGGGATAAAGGCTTTGTTCTCATTCAAATGGCGGGGAGGGGGGAGGAGTTTCTATACAGGCTTCTGCTCCACATTGCCACCCATGAGCTGTGTGGCCGAAATAAGTCAGCTTGCTCTGGGTACCCGGTTCCCCAGCTGAAATATGTTTGAACTATTGTGAGCACAGTCCAATTAGAATTACATTGTATGTTGCAACCCAAGTCACACATATGTGCTGAGACCCCAGTTCCACATAAAAATGTTCATTTTTCTATTGTTTCATTTCATTCCATATTTATGTGCTCTTTCGTGCTCACTCACTCTCTCTCCCCTCCCCTCTCTCTCTGTCTCTCTCATGCTGATCAAAATCCACTAAAATGACTTCACAGATGGTTAATGGGCCACAGCCATAGTCTAAAAAACACAAAGGATAGAAAGCGGCAGATATGGAATGAACAAGTCTAATGTAAACATGAGGACTATAGTTAATAAAATTGATAGTATTAGGGATTTTTGCTAAACAAGTAGATTATAGCTTCTCTAGCCATGGGGGAGGAATGGAGACTATGGTGAGATAGGTGGTATGTTCTTGTTCACTTGTAATTAACCAGGGGGCCGGGTGCTGTCTGCTCTGCCAAAGGCCCTTCCCCCACTCAGGTGTCTGTCCCTTCTGTCCCTCAGGAAGTGAAGATTCTGAGGAGTCAGCTGGGAGACAAGATCCGGATTGAGCTGGACACGGAGCCCACGGTGGACTTCAGCAGGGTGCTGGGGGAGATGAGGTGCCAGTACGAGGCCATGGTGGAGACCAACCGCCAGGACGTGGAGCAGTGGTTCCAAGCCCAGGTGACGGCGGGGCTGCCCAGCAGGGGGGACTGGGTTCCATCTGGGCAGGGAGGTGACCGTGTCTGTCTGTGCACTTGTGCTCCAGTCCGAAGGCATCAGCCTGCAGGCCATGTCCTGCTCCGAGGAGCTGCAGTGCTGCCAGTCTGAGATCCTGGAGCTGAGATGCACGGTGAACGCCCTGGAGGTGGAGCGCCAAGCCCAGCACACCCTGGTACGTGTCCCCTTCACCCTCACTGCACTGCAGTCACCTCACTCCTTGGACAGGTAGTAGCAGCTCTGGGAGTCTCTGATCAGCTCCTGTAACATTAAGTCAGCACTTGACCCGGGTCCCTGTCTGCCTGGTGGAGGTGCCTTGCTGTCAAAACCAGTTTGACCCAGAGACAAGGTTTCTATAAGAAGTCCACTCCACTTCCTTCAGAATATAGCGTGGAAGTTCGAGCACTCATCTCACAAGATTTTACTGGGTGTCAACTTTTTGTCAGGCATTGGAGATACAGGGACGACTGTGACATAGTTCCTTACGTTAGATTTTATTTTGTGTATGAAAAGTCATGGTTATGACAGTGATTTCTTCAGAGCTCTTGGAATGTCCCTATGCCTAATGAGTTTGGCCAGGATTTTCCTTGCTGAGTTTTGGGGCACCCGGGTCTCTGACGCCCCCATTCCCCCCCGCAGAAGGACTGCCTGCAGAACTCCCTGTGCGAGGCCGAGGCCCGCTATGGCACGGAGCTGGCCCAGATGCAGAGCCTCATCGGCAACGTGGAGGAGCAGCTGTCCGAGATCCGGGCCGACCTGGAGCGGCAGAACCAGGAGTACCAGGTGCTGCTGGACGTGAAGGCCCGGCTGGAGGACGAGATCAACACGTACCGGAAACTTCTGGAGTGCGAGGACTGCAAGTATGTGTGATCTGGACAATTCCTCGTTAAGTTCATTCCTCAGAGATAACTGAAGTGCTTGCAGGAGGTCTCATCTCATGCCATCTTCCTGTGCACCTTCACACAGTCACTCACCAACCCCTCCCGGCTGTGCAGATTAGATTGTTATAGAATGCTACATAAAGGGTGGTCAGGTCCCTAAGCCAAGTCCCCCCCACCCCAAGCACTCCGGGATGTGGAAAGACACAGATGAGAGCAGAACTGTTGGAGCATGTCTTCCGCTCTGTGAGCCTTGTTGGAGGCAGGCTTGGCCTTTGTCCTTTTGGTCTTAATTTGCATTGTCAACCACAGAGACATCTTTTTATGTCCTGTGCCTAACACTTCTTCTCTCTCTCCCTGCAGACTCCCCTGCAACCCTTGCGCCACGCCTGCCCCCTGTGGCCTTTGTCCTGGCCGTGCTCCCAACACCTGCGGGCCTCCCTCTGCCAGTGGAGCTGGCACCTGGAGCCGATGCTGAAGGCCCGCGGTCCTGTGCCGGGGGTGAAGACCACTTGCGCTGGAGTCAGGAGTGCTGTCACCTCGCTGTGTCTTCCTTCCCGGGAGACCAGGCTCACTGGAGGCATTCTCCCCACATCACCGGGTAGCAGGAACTTCCAAGGAGTGGCTGGCTTCCTGTCTGTGTCTTTTAGCTGCACTTTTTTTTTTTCTATGTTGTCATTATCTTCCACTAAAGGTACTGTTTTTCCCAGTGTCACTTCTGGGTTCTTTTGGTTCTATTTCAGTGTTTCAGAATCTTCTAAAATGTCACTTGGCTCCTGTATTCGATGGTCAATAAACCTCCTTCCTGTATCGAGTGTGTCCCTGGTGTGGCTGTGTGAGTTGCTGGAGTCCCGGCCGCAGGTCCCCATGTCCTCACTGGTACTGGCACATCGCCACCAGGAGCTCTCAGGGTGCTGGGTCTAAGCCCTTACCTGACGGTGGACGTGCGGTTACCTTGCCCCGGGATCCCTGAAGACTGCTGAAAGGAAGTGGCGATGGCAGCTGCCAAGTGTGCATTCTTTCAGAACAGCTCAGAACTAACATGTCCCTACCATGCTTTTGGAATCTTCGGCCTCTTGGTATTCCGTCCAAGAGCAAAATCACACACCACGTAGAGTTCCAATCTAGCCAAACGGAGGTCATGTTGAGAGCTGCCTGGGCCAAGTTGCCAAGCTCTTTCTCTCACTCACATGGGCCCCTTTCCTGCCCACTCTCTTAGGCGTGGGGCCCTCGGGGACAGTGGTCTTGGTCCTGGCTCACCTCCCGGCTGTAGCGTTCTCTAGAGAGATGCTGGTGCGGAGGGTGCGGCTGCCATCAGGACACTCCACAGCTCGGAAGGCAGCACAGCCTCTCGAGTCCCTCTCCTCACTCTTAGCTGTGTCTGGCTGTGTCTGGCTGTGTCGCCTTGGTCCCACCAGAGCCATGTTCGAGAGGTAGGCAGGGGCCAGGAGTGTCCTGATGGCAGCCGCACCCTCCGCACCAG